CCCTACAGTCCAAGGTGCTACTTACAGCTCTAGGCTTACAGCCCACACAGCTAGATCCTGCAGAGGTTATTCATGCTGCGGAAATAAACGAAGACCACCAAATGAGAACAGACGGTATTTATTTAGTTTGCTACAGAAAGAGAATCGGTGACTTTCATTTTCATTTGGTAGAGACTCAAAGTCAGGCAGAGTAATAGCAAAGTTTATAGTGGAAAAATAAAGGTTCCAGGCATGCTTTGATGGAATGTTGTTGGCATGGGAAGCTGGAGGGGTAATCTATTAGAGACACAGTAAAATGGATAGAGAAACTAACACTGGCATCAGGGAGACATTTTTTAAAAACAGTTATTGCCCTAGCTGGTTTGGCTCAGTGGATAGAGCATCAGCCTGTGGACTGAAGGGTCCCAGGTTCGATTCTGGTCAAGGGCGCATGCCTAGGTTGTGGCTTGATCACAACCTAGGGGACGTGCAGTAGGCAGCCAATCAATGATTCTCTCTCATCATTGATGTTTCTCTCTCCCTCTCCCTTCCTCTCTGAAATCAATAAAGATATATTTTAGAAAGAAAGAAAGGAAGGAAGGAAGGAAGGAAGGAAGAAAAAGAAAGAAAGAAAGAAAGAAAGAAAGAAAGAAAGAAAGAAAGAAAGAAAGAAAGGAAGGAAGGAAAGGAAAGAAAGAAAGAAAAGTAGTTACAATTCAGTTGCGAGATGATGAAGAATCGAACTGGGGTGGTAGCAATCAGGACCCCAGGCCTCTTTCTGCTTGACCATTCTAGCTCTTGGCTTCCATCCTCAATGTCAGTTCATGGCTTCAATGGTGCCTAGATCTCTAGCCAGAGAAACCAAGGTGGGGAGGCAAGATGAAAATCGGGACAAAAACAGGTTCCTTCTGGCTGTCAGCTCCTGTAAATCCACCCTCTCACACAACACTGTTGCTTACATCTCATTGGCCTGAACTTAGTTACATGGTCATATCTATATGCAAAGAAGGTAGGGAAACAATCTTTTGTTCTAGACAGCAATATGCCTAGCTAAAATTCAAAGTTCTGTAATTAAGGAGGAAAAAGAGAATGGTTACTGGGTAAGCAATTAGTAATCTCCACCACAAACATTTTTTAAAATTTTCTCAGCAATGACAAACTTATTAAATGTCTATTATATATTATGCAGGTAGGTCAGGCATTTTGTACTTGTCCCAGTGGAGCTGGTTGAGGAATGTATCAGTTAGAATGCCATCAGCCTCAAGTCACAAAGAAAACCAACTCAGCCTTAGCCTGTTTGGCTCGGTGGATAGAGCGTCAGCCTGTGGACTGAAGGGGCCCAGGTTCGATTCTGGTCAAGGGCATGTACCTTGGTTGTGGGCACATCCCCAGTAGGGGGTGTGCAGGAGGCAGGTGATTGATGTTTCTCTCTCATCAATGTTTCTAACTATCGCTCTCCCTTCCTCTCTGTAAAAAATCAATAAAATATATTTTTAAAAAACTCAAAAGTAACAAACAATGAAGAAATATGCTATCTTATATAATAAAAAGTCCAGAAGTCAACTAGCTCCACAGTTAACTCAGCAACTCCATGATGTTGTCGCCGACTCAGGTTTTATTTCTCTCTAATTTCTCATTCTCAGTGTGCTGATTTTGTTCTCCAGAAGGTCCAGTCATGGTAAAAGATGGCTACAGAAGTTCTACCTTCACCTCCTAAAATTACAACATTTAGAAAAAAGATGAGGCATTCTTTTCAGAGCAAGGAACCAGCTCATGGGTTGGCTGGCAGATCTAAGATGGCTTCACCCATATATCTGGGATCTTGGCAGGGATCTGTGAAAAGGTAGGACTTCTGTCATCATTCAGCAGTCTAGCCTGAGCTTCTTTCTTTACAATATAGCTGGATTCCAAGAGGGCAAGTGCTTATCAAGGCTCTACTTGCATCATGCTTGCTAATCCCCTATTGGCCAAAGCAAGTCATGCACTAAACCCAGAGTCATTGTGGGAGGGGATTACACAGGTGTTTGAGTACCAGGAGGTGTGGTTCCTTGGAGGTCATCAGTATAACCATCTTCTACAGTTATAGTATAACCGTCTTCTATGTTGGGTCCATTGGGGATAGGAAGAGTGTATCGTCGAGAGAATACAGTATGATCAGGGATATTTAAGACACAAAGTCTTGGGAAGTAAAATAGTAACACAGGATTTAAATCCTATATAATAAAAGCATAGTATGCAAATTGTCCCCTCAACTGGGAGTTCATCCAGGAGTTCAACCAAGGGGTGGGCCTGCCAAGGGAAGGGAGGGAGTACCGGGCTAGCAGCTGGCAGATGCTAGGGACCCTACCAGTGCACGAATTTCGTGCACTGGGCCTCTAGTATTTAAATAACATTTTTAAGACGA